GGAATGCCAAAGCCTAAAATCTGTTCAGACTTTTACGTCTCGATATAAAATGTAGTAGAAAACCAGAAAAGTTTGTAAAGCGGTGACACCTGGTGATTCTGACGGCTGTACGTGTTTTGGAGTGTCAGCACTCTGTTTATATCCTCAGCGTTCTCTCTCTGATCGCATAAAGCTCTCTGTCAGTCTTCAGAAGTGAATATTACACCAGACTGCAGCATGTCCATTACACAAGCCAACCTGCCCAGCTGCAGTGACAGACAGCAAACCTCAGGGCACTTTGCTCTTATTAAAAATGACTGCGCTACACTATTCTTCATGGCCTCCCTCACCCTTCTGTTCAGTAGTCTTCAATAATACACAAATACATATTTATACTACAAGGATGGTTTAATTACTGAGCTTGTAATTGGTTTGGAGGGGAGAAGTACAGGAAGTGGTTGACGTACCTTCTTTCGTGTGTGTGTGTGTGTATTCACTCACAGGCAGGGCGCTTTTCACACAATAATCCAGTGAAGGCCTTGGGCACAGACATCTGCTTTCTAATGACAGTTAATTAGATGCTGTTGAGCGCAATCAGAGGCAGTCGGCGCTAATAAACTGGGACTCAGTGTGTGTGCAGTGTTTCTCTGTCTGTGTATGACTGTGAGAGAGTCTACAAGACGACGGCTTTGATTTAGAAGAGTCGCACACTATGAGTCAGTGGTGCTTTAGACTTCAGCCAGAGAATTCAGGCTAACACACTGCAGGAGAAAGACTACTGAAGAACTTGTGCGGAAATTATGGGTGGTTGTTAGGTTGTTGCTATGCGATTGCTAAATTGTTCTTTGTTTTTTGTTTTTTTACAGTGGTATGCGGTTGCTAGAGTGTTCTGGGTGGTTGTTGCTTACAATAGGGTCTCAAATATGCATATCTACTGTAAGATTAATGCTTAGGGTTAGAGTTTATTCATATCCCTAATCCTGTGTGAGCAATACAAGTAATCAATCTTGTGGCCACACACAGGCTAAAACCTCTGTTTATTCACAGTAGAGTTATAATCATTATTCCTAGTCTTCCGGACCCTCATCAAATGTTCATTGTGTTTCATTTCTGTTATCCTCTGGATGGATTGCGATCATCCGTCAGTGAACGGTTATGTCCCGATCTCACGGCAGTAATTGTATTTCAGTGAGGAACGTAAAGGACCTCAGCTTTGATTACATGCCATAATCCCCTTATTAGCTTTGAGTTATGCTTATAGACATCTCATTCTGTATGGTGACTGTTCCTACTCTGATCCCACATCAGTTTCATCCGCACGACGCCGACTCGTAAACACATAAACAGTGCTGTTATAAAAGTCTTTCTTTCTTATTATTAATTATTATGTTTGACTTATTTCATAACTATCCATTCAGCACAAGTCGCATGTTAAACATTGTATACACATCATGTCACACTCATACTTTTTGTTGTAGTACATCACATCTTGTCAAATGGTTTTACTCTATATTAACACACAAGTAGAATTCAGAAATCCCTCATAGAGAATCAGAACTCTGTGTGACTCTCCATTGGATATGAATGACTGCTCTGGTCTATCGTCTGCCGGTTATCGTAAGCAGTGAAAAGGTGGCTTAGGTGTTCAAAATTCATCAGATTGAATGTTAATACACATGTTTAAGACAGTGTGTGAAGAGCATGTGGCGTTTATACATGAATTCCTCTGTCTGCTGTGCTCCTGTCATAGAGAACAATGTGGCTATTTTCAGCAGGGCGTCTGGTGAGCCCATGTGACTGTGAGACTGATTGATCCACAGCACTGAGTTTTTCCCTCCTTGCTCTCCTTTTTCACCCTTGGATTGTCCACATGCTCTTTTTTCCATCCTCCAAAGAAGTCTTCTTCATCTTGTTTTCAAACATCTCTCAGCACATTCAAGCCTGGTTACACACCCACATGCTGTTTACACATTATATGTGATTGCAGAGAGGAGCGCCATCTTCTCCACACCTGCCTAATGCAGCGTACCACAGATCAAACGCAAAAAGAAGAGTGTTTTAGTTCTTCTGTCCCAGTAAGATGAACATTTTTAATTGTCTGAGGTTCCTCTAGTCTAAAGGAATCATGACTAGCGCTTAAGTAGGTCTCCAGATGGCAACTACGATTTTTGTCAGATATGAAATGAAAAACTTAAAATGTGGGACAATATTTCAAAATGATTTAGCTATTGGCGACAGTTGACAAAATATATGGCTTTCTCAGAAATCATCTTGTTGCAACAACAAACACAGAGTCGAGAAAAAATGACTCTTATGAATCAATTCAGAAATGAGTCATTTAAAAAGATTCTTCAAACAAATAGTGATTTGAGTCGGTCAGTGAATCGTTAAGGGCCATTGTAGTTCAAAACGGAACATTTTTTTGTTATGTCTGATATGAAGCGTCAAACACTAAACATTAAAACGACATATAATAATTAAAATTAAGTATCTGTGACATTATATTTCACTACTTTAAACTTGAGGTGTCTTTCACAGTTAAAAAGCATCTTTTACTGTCTGTTTGCTGTAGTAACTGGTGTCTTGTAGGTCATCGGCTTTTTTTACAGGCTGTTCTGTGTCTCTTCCTTTAACAGCCACTTCTGTCATGACGGTCAATGTGGTCACGCTCACGATGTCCCTGATGCGCTTTCCTTCTCTGAATTTCGGACGAAGCAAAACTCGATTAGCTGAGAGAGCCAATGAGCCTGTAGAGCAGCTGTCACCTTCCATTTACCTCATAAGATCATTGATCAGACAGACTTATGGAATGAAATATTAACACAGCAAGATGATCACATGAAGACAGTGCCCAAGATACGCTTTTGTGTGTCACTGTGTGCACATATAACTGTGTGTCTATTAGACGGTTGAGAGCGAAAGTAAGAGACACCATCTGGTGTGAATAATTCTTATAGAGGACATTTATATTGGTGACATAATGAAGTGGAGATTGAGCTATTATCTTTGTCTGTATTTCTAAACCATGCCAAATTATTCAAGAGGGCCCTGAGAAACCCTGCCGTATATATTATACAGTACCGGCTGCAGAGCTCCGCTATTACACGATACACTGCGACACCATACAATTGTCTGCACTTTTTATTCTGGAACTTCATAGTTCCTCATTCAAAGTGTTTGAGCTTAACCAAATGATCGTTGTTTTTAATAAATTGTTATACTGATTTGGAATACATACATTTTAAAGTTTCATTGGGTCAGGAATGACGAATATCAAGATTAACATGACAGAAAAGGTCATCTACAGTAAATGTAAAAATCGGATAAACGAGCATGCAGAAACATCCAATATCGTCCGATACAAATAAAAATGTAAAATTATATGGAACCGATATATTGTGCTTATTAACGCTGTTTTTGTATTGTTACCAAGGTGATATTATCACTTATCTAGGACCCATGTGTGTCAGTGTTCCCTTAAATAAATATAGTCAGACAATAAAATAATTGACAATGTTTTTATGGCCTCAGGTATGACGAAAACCTATTTTAGGTTTATGGCAGTGTTACACTTAAAGAAGTGGTAGAGTTGTTGCTTACTGAGGGCTGAGCTAGGCTTTCACTGTTAATGTCTCACACACACACATATATAAACGTGCACATGTGTGTATGAGCTCCCCTCTGCTGGGTTGACTAATTGGCTGTGCAGTGCTGAGGGAGGTGTTTAGTGTCGGGGGGTTGTGCAGCTGTAGTCTCGTAGTGATAAATCAGTGTTCCTGCTGATCTATGAGCCTCTGTCTGCTCGTACGCAACGGCCCATCCCTGCTCAACACCTGTCTTGTTCCCTCTCCGACACACATGGTGTGTGCAGTATTTAAAAGCCAGAAATGATGCTCATATTTGTTTTTTATTTGTTTTTTCAAAACAAGTCTGAGACCTCATTGAAAATCTGAGATTTAAAATCTAATTTAAACCTGGAAAGGACTAGAAAAATTATGATTTTGACATTTAGAACAAAGAAAAACAAACAAACAAAAAATATTCTAAGATTATTTTAAATTCTCTTATTTATTTATTTTCTTCATTTTTTTTATCTCAAATTGCTTTTTTTTCTAATAATATAACTTGTAATCAGGAAATTTGTATTACATTTTGAAATAAAATACAAAAAAGTGGATTCGAACCCACATTTTCCATATCAGCACCACTGCACAATGTGCTAACCATTAGGCCTCAGCTCTGACATTTTCAAACTTAGTCAAACCTTGCATAGACGTGTCTCTTTTGTGTAATTCAACTCTTAAATGCATGAATGTTTCGCCAATCATTATTACATATTTGGGTCTCTACCTGTCTGGATAATATACTGTAAAACTCGGCTGATTTTAGAGTAACAATTGCAGAAGAATAAAATAAAGCATATTTAGTTACCTTTTGGATTACAGCTACTGGCTCATATTCGCGATCTCAAACATATTCTCAAAACTGTCATTTTCAGCATCTTCAAAATCAATATTTTGATCACTTCTTCACCAGATCCACCATCAAATGACGGGGACTCTTATATTTGATTGCGTTCAGTACTTTCTCAATTAAATCGCTGCACCATTTCAAGTTTTGCTGATGATACTTCCTATTCTATTGTTTTCTGCCTGCGGTAACTATGAGTGAAACGTCACTTCATCATTGTGTATCAGACATTGCCACCTTGTGGAATAAAGGTGAATTGCACTTCATTTTCTTCTTGTGCAGGAAAAATATACTTACACTGTTACACAAATCGGGTCATTAGCGACCGTATACAATTATTACAAAAAAATGAAAAGGAAAAGGAAAACAGGCATTCTTTTATATTAGAATTTTCCTGTTATATTGTTTATAATGAATTTATTGAGGAATACTAAGAAGGTTGATGTCTAACTTTAAAAAAAAAAAAGGAATGAGGAGGAGAGTAGTGATTGACATCCCGGGTCATGCTTTTAAGGGTTACTGAAAATGCCTTGTTTTCTTTGTGTCACTAGGTTCATTCAGGAGATCGAGTCCTGTATGGGTCCTGCTCAGGCTAAGCAATGTCAGCTACGCACCTTCCTCACCTACTACATCAACGACCTGTTCCTCAGCCAGGTCCGCACCGAGACCAATAAGGAGATTGAGGCTGTGACCAAAGTGTCCGACCCGCTCAAGATCCTGGCCAGCGCTGACACTATGAAAAACCTGGGAGTTCAAAGACCTCTTCTACAGGTATCTTTTTTGTTTGTTAGTTTAAATGATCCCAAAAGAAGCTTTTTCAGACATTTTTCAGTAAATGTAGGACAATATAAGTACACACACAATCACATAGAAATATAATACACACTTATTTTTCGCCGTTGCTTCTTCCTGCTCTTCTTCCCTTTCATTAGTCGATCCGTTTATTAGATTAACTGTTCAAACAGCATTTGCCTACCGGTCAAGTGTACAAAAGCCCGGTCTGATTGTTTTCTCTTCTGAACTGCACCGAAGAGGAAGGTTTTTTTTTTTTTTTTTTTTCTGTCTCTTCTCCCATGAGTGTCAATAAAGGCCACCTACCCCCCTATCACCCTGCATCATAATTGGACCTGAAATTGTGTTTGATCCTGGCTGACCTGGAATCAGCTGTTAAGTGCAGCTTATATAACACACAGCACTGCTCCTTGGTGACCAGCTGCCAGCTGTCCATCTCTCCAAGGGCTTCTTCCTGTCAGTACAGGAAGTACAACCTTTTTTTTTGCCTTTGAGACCTCTTTAAGTGCTTACTTCATCAGCAAAGGGATTTAGTACTCTCTCTTCTCACCTTTCCAGTATTTGCTTGTTATAGTTCCCATAACAACAACAAATTAAGAATCATAGAGAGATATTTTTTGTGCTGCTTTTAAGATTATATTATATTATTAATAACGTTATATTATATTATTTGAATATTTTAGTACTGCCCTGAAGAAGCTGCCACACAATTTTTTTTTGAAGTTTTAAACAAAACAGATTATTGGAGCACATTTCCAGTCTTTCTACTTCAAAAATTCTCATTTAAAACAGTGTGTTACTTATCGTTTGTGTGTGAAATTTACTAGCAATTTCTAAGCGAAAATAGTTTCAAAGTAAATCCTACACTAATTCAGTGTAACAGATATTGTCTTCTATGCTTGTCTGCATGCTTCTGTTTGTTCCTGAGTGTATGCATGTGCAATTGTGCATGTACAACTGAGTTATTTCAATGTCTTTCTGCGTTCGGAATCCATGATCTGGTCAATTAACTTCATGAGAAGCTCTCTTTGCAAATATATGAGGGCAAGAATGCCATTGTGCTGAGTGTGATGAGTTTTAGCGCTCCGATATTACTCAGATGAGAGCCATTATGGTCCCCTTTTACTCTTTAAACTGAGACCTGTCATCACAAGTCTCTCCAAGTTGTGTGTTCATGTGTGTACGTACGTCTTAGCATTGCTTTCATTTTGAGAACAGTGGCAGTTCATTACAGAGGGGAAGACATCAAAAGCTCACAGCCATTTGTTTATGATTATGATTTCTCCTTAACGAGGACTGCGGCATCTTGCTAATTACCCTGCTGGGCTAATGAGCGACTCTCTGGATAGCGGGAGCTCCATAAAATGCTCTTTGTTTTCGCTTTTTTATTTTTATTTTTTAATTACCTTAAATCAAAGGTGCTGCAGCTTTGCTCCTGACAGCCCGTGTGGCACGTTCCATCCCGGCCTTTTGCTTTGTACTGTTGTAGAACCAGATCCTGGATCATGGGTTCGTGTGTTAGACAGACGCACTGAGGGAACGAGAGTTTGCTCTTCAAGGAGGCATTTAATGAACTCTTTTATGAAGAGCTGTATTAGTGTGTGAAGTTGTTTTGTGTTCTCAAGCATGTGTGTGTATTTATTTGTGTGGCTTTGAAAATTGCCTGTTCATTTTGAACTTAGCAGAGGAAAGAAAATCAGTACAGGATTTGGAAAGCACGTCCATCTGTATCAAGGTCCTAAATGAGCATTTGCCAAGCACTAAATGTGGGTAAAATTTGGCTGTAACGAGTAAATAAAATTGTACTCACCAAATGGCCTGTTACACGTTTACAAGTTGTGAAACTGAAGGAAAATTTACTAAAGAAACTTCTGCCAAAGTTCTGACGCAAGAAGTACGGTATTGGCTCTGGCTATTCCTAGACAACTTTCCTGTTTTTTTTTACTTTTCAACATTTTTTTTTTTTTTTACTTTTCAACATTTTTTTTTTTTTACTTACATTTGTCAAAAATAAAAATTGGCTCTGGCTATTCCTAGACAACTTTCCTGTTTTTTTGTACTTTTCAACATTTTTTTTTTTTTACTTAGATTTGTCAAAAATAAAAGTGTCACATGATCTTTTCTAAAAATCATTCTAATATGCTAATTTGGTGCTCATGAAACATTTCCTAGTATTATCAATGTTGAAAACAGTTTTGCTGCTTAATATTTTTGTGGAAACCATAATTTTTATTTTATTTTTTTTGATAAACAGTCCTATTGATACAAAATAAAATAATAAGTAGAATATATGAAAACATATATAACATGTACTAATATAATAAAAAAAAATTGACTCTCTATTGGCAGGTTTAGTAAACATTTAATTTCGGCCCCTAATATGCACGATATTCAACAGTGACTAATAAGGCCAAAGAGAAAGTGCCAGTGATGAATTGGTGAAATGACACACCTTGTGTTTGCTGTTGGATTGGAAAGAGGTTATCTCCATGACCATTTGATCTGCTACTGATCAGAGGATTTAACCCCGCCCTCTTTGCCTCATTAGCATGTGATCACCTGGAACAGGTGCAGAGACAGACTGTAAGAGCAATTTGACTGCATGTCTGTTACTTCTGTTCTGTTTATGACAACAAAATACATGGAAAAGTCTAATTTCATCTGAAGTTATGAAACAAAAGTTTAGTTTTCCACCTCCCAGACCAGAATTCAATGCAGTGTGTCATTGAGAAGGTGCAGGAACCGTGATTTGACCCTGTTCTCAGACTGAACAGCCATTCATCCTGTGAGAAGCCATGAAGTTGAGTGACGCTTCTCTCCAGATTGTCTATTGCCTCTGTGATGCATTTCAGACCAAATGGAGGAGGCAAATGATGCTTAAAGTAGTGCTCTCCTGTGGTCAAGGAAATGATGACAAAGAGATGTGGGTGTGTGTTTATGGGTGCATGTCTGTGTATTCCAGGTGCCCTGGCTCGGATGTTACAGCAGGTGTTTTATGAGAAATCAGCCCGGGAGAAGTGGAGCATTGATCCGTAGGGAAAGGGGGTTTTCTTTTAGTTTCACAACATTAAATATACTGCACTTTGCCATCAGGAACCATGTTAGCACACACCCATAAACACCCACTCCCGTTTACTTGCTATACTGCAAAGGAGGAAATCTTAGGACAGATTTTATGTCAGTTGTTGTCAGCATTTTTAAAGCTAACCAACTTTTTGTCACCTTTTCCTTTTGTAAAATCTTTTTTGGACAACCACCGTATATATTAATATATATATATATATATATATGTGGCTAGATGTGTTGTATTTCAATGTGTTGTACTTTCTCTTTACCGGAAAGAAATTTTCGATGTTCTATATGTTAAATAATCAACAGAAAAGTAGACCGTATGACTTATTGAATAGATTGTACTTCTATTCACAGCCTTGCTTTCATTTGTCTAAAATGAAATATGAGTGACCATTCACAGACTATTTGGAAAAGGTTGTATTTCAAAGGCTGTCTTAATAGAAAGCAGACACTTAGTTAGCCTAATTGTTAAACTTAATTAAAATCAATATAATTTTTTTCTGTTTGTAATGAAAAGTTGGAGGATGGTTTCTTGGCACACAATGAAGTTGACAGCCGTGTGCTCTGGCAGAGAGAGGTGTTACTGCATTAGCATTACAAGCACAAGGATCGCTCGAATACGAACAGCCCCTGCTATCAGCACCCCCCGTCCTGGAAGCTCAAGTTTGGCTGTCCTCACTCTGTCTAGCATCACAACAAGGCCAGTGATGTCAGAAGGCCTGGCCATCCATGTTCTGCCCGCTCTCGTTCTTAAACTTTCTCTGTGCTGATATGTTCCACTGATGCTATCTGCAGGTCCAGGGCCCACTGATGGATTCATTTCATTAGAAATGTTTTGGGGGGTCACCGTGTGGCTTGTTTGGAGATTGGCTCTATTAATCTTCCCCACCACGGGATCCATGGTGCTGCTTACATGGGCCATATGTCCAGACACCTCTTACAGGAACGCTTATACTCACACACTTCATTTTTGCTGACGTTGGTGGAAAATGGCAATCTTGGCCAAAAAAATTTTTAAATTTGTATTTGGTTACTGGTTATATTGTCATTCATACACACAGACTTATAGAAATATATAATATATAATACTAAAATAACACTGGTAATTTCTGAACCAGATCTTTTTGTAAAGGCCTAACAAGTTTTGACATCTTAATTGCCGAAATGTTAGGCCCCTTGTTTTCCAGGAATCTACAAATGTCCAATATTATTTATATTATTAAGTTATTTCAGACAAAGAGGATCTCAGTATAGGTATTTACTTAGGCCTATTCATGGCTGGAGCTATAATGTTCTCAGAATATTCAGGGCTGTGTTTTATATTTACAAGTCTGTTTTTAGAGACGTGATTTACTGTCTGTCTTTGCCATTCAGTCAAAGCTCATTCTGAAATGTGGACTTGAGCTGCCACCAGCGCTTTGCTAATGAAGCTGACCTTTTTAATCACACTGTATTCACCATCAACACACACAAACGAACCCCTACACATCAATCTAGAGTCGAACTAATGAGAGTGACCTTTTTGTTTGTAGGGTCTGTGTTGTGTGGGGGTGTATATTTGGGGTCTCTCTCTCTCTCTCTCTCTCTCTCTCTCTCTCTCTCTCTCTCTCTCTCTCTCTCTGTGTGTGTGTGTGTGTGTGTGTGTGTGTGTGTGTGTGTGTGTGTGTGTGTGTGTCTATGGTTCTGTGTGTGATGTCTGTTGATTGGCATCTTGTAGTGCTCGGCTCCATTTGAGGAGCACAGCTTGGTGTGGCACTGACGGTGTGTACTTCTCATCACCACAAAAACAGCCAATCACAGAACGATTCAGGTTTGAATGGTGTTGTCTAGACCTTGTTTATATCTGCAGGAAGTCGTCTCTGTGTACAGAGACACATATGCACATCAGGATCAAAAAGTTACCGTGC